CGGATAGATAATACACAGCGAGATAATCAAACTGACGGAGGCTGCGAAGGAAACGTCAGGGCTGTGGTATTTTGCTTTTTTTTTTTTTTTTTTTTTTTTTTGCTTTGTTCCGTCAAAATTCCTTTCTACAACGTCGAATAAGTGTTGTGGCTCCTGCAGAGGACGGGCGGAGCGGCAGCGTGGTGTCGGAGGGCCTGAGGGCGACGCTGGCGGGGCTTCGGCCTTGGACCAACTACAGCGTGAGCGTCGCCGCCTCCACCAGGGCCGGCGAGGGGCTGGCCTCCCTGCCGCTCGTCTGCACCACCGACCAGGACGGTGAGTTGGATTTCACGCATGTATGCACGCAAGCAGACGCACATACACGCACACATACACATATACACACACGCATACGCATACGCACACACACACACACCACACACACACACACACAACACCACACACACACACACACACCCACACACACGCAACACCACACACACACACACACACACACACACAGATACAAGTCATAGCGTATACTCTCCTCATCCAAAAAAATGAAAACACCGCCTTTCACCCTCTTTCCCAGTTCCCGAGGCCCCCGCCCGCGTCAAGGCCGTCGTGTCCGGCCCGCGAGCTGCCGTGGTGTCGTGGGCGCCGCCCGCAAGTCCCCGCGGCCGCATCACCAGGTACACAGTCCACTGGGCGTCCGCGGGCAGTCGCAGCGCCCCGCACACTCGCCGCGTCAGCCCGCACTTCACTCACCTCACTTTACACGACCTCTCGCACACGGCGCACGAGGTAAATGGGGCCCTTGCACACCTGGCACGAAGTCCACCTGTGGCTGACCCTTTTGGCAGTGCCGAGGAAATCTTTCGTAAAAGGCTTTTCTTTCGTATATATCAATCTCCTTTGTTTTATTCCTTTATTTCCTTTTATTCGTGAAATATGGACTTCGCGTCAGATGCAATGTCATCATCTTTTTTGGAATAATAGATCCTTTTATTTTATATTTAAGGAGGGATGAGTTTGTGAGTTTCGTCTGATATTTTCCCCAGGTCTGGGTCACGGCTTCCACGAGGATAGGTGAAGGACCTCGAAGCAGCGTTGCAATGGTAACTCCTTCTCACACAGGTATGTCTTTGGCAATGCTGCTGCTGTAGTTTGAAAAGAAAGAAGAAAAAGAAAAAAAAAAGAAAAAGTATTTTGGAAAGATTTTTTTTTTTTTTTTTTTTTTTTTTTTTTTTTTTTTTTTTTTAGCAATTATCTTTCTCTTCTCCCCCAGTGGGCGCGGGGATATGGGCTGTGGGCGGGAACCTGACGGCGGCGTGGAAGGAGGACGTGAGTTTACCCTGCGGTGCCGTCGGAGTGCCAGAGCCAGTTCTCAAGTGGAGTCACGAGCGATTGGAAATTCCAGACACGCATCCCAGGTAAGAAATGGCATTACCTATTTATTTTTAATAAACGTTTTATCGTTGGTTTTGACCTTTCTTCATCGATGAGAACGTGAGAAAATAATAAAAAAACAAATAACGTATCACAGAAAACGTAGTAGAAATAAAATGAAACAAACGTAGGGCTTAGAAATATCAAATTAAGTAACGTAATAGAAATAAAATGAAACAAACGTAGGACTTAGAAACATCAAAGTAACGTAATAGAAATAAAATGAAATAATCGTAGGGCTTAGAAACATCAAATTAAGTAACGTAATAGAAATAAAACTGAAATAATCGTAGGACTTAGAAACATCAAATTACAATGACGTAATAGAAATATAATAAAATAATCGTAGGACTTAGAAACATCAAATTACAATGACGTAATAGAAATAAAATAAAATAATCGTAGGACTTAGAAACATATGACAGTAACGGAAAAGAAATAAAATGAAACAAACGTAGGACTTAGAAACATCAAATTAACGTAATAGAAATAAAATGAAATAAACGTAGGACTTAGAAACATCAAATTAAGTAACATAATAGAAATAAAATGAAACAAACGTAGGACTTAGAAACATCAAATTAAGTAACGTAATAGAAATAAAATGAAACAAACATAGGGCTTACAAACATCAAATTAAGTAACGTAATAGAAATAAAATAAACCAAACATAGGGCTTAGAAACAACAAATTACAATAACTAATTATAAAAAATACAACCCACACCCTATAGGTTCACTGTACAACCCGACGGTACACTGACACTAACGGACATACAGCGCAGTGACAGCGGCCGTTATACGTGTACCGCTTCGAACCACCACGGCGACGACTCCGTTACTTACAACCTTACTGTTCTTGGTAAGATGGTATATACCTCTGGTTCGGGTTATTAAGATTGTTTGAGTCTGTTTGTATGTGTATTCTTTTATTACCTAGATTTCTTTTTGTTAGGGATGAAGATTTTGTTGTTTAGTTATTTTTTGAAAGCGTGTTTTTTCTCGTATTAGGTGTGTTTGTCTTTTTTTTCTTCACTTTCTTTCTTTCCTTTTTGTGGATTTTTACCTCCCTT